TTCATTTATTTAATAATTAGTCTCAGCGGGATTCACATCAAGAAATGTATGAGACTAGATCAAATGAAATTAAATATGAAATTCATGATTCTTTCAGCCAGTCTAAGCCTGTTACAGCCCTGGCTCACTCTGTCAAATGTCATATCAGAGATAATAGCATTGAGTTGCTTGATGCTAAAGAAGTTGAGATTGAATACCTGTGCCGTGAGAACATCTCTCTTCAGAGAAAATAGAACCATGTTCAGTGCCTCTTGAAAATGACTGTTGAATTCATCAAAGATGATTAGATAGCTTGCAGACCGGGCTGTGTAGATGTTGTTTTTTAAAAAAATTAGTTATTACAGAGTAATCAAATTGATGATTTACAGAGAAGAATAATGATGATGAAAATATTCAATTCTACTATATTGCAGTTCATCTGTAGAATTGCTGTTTTCTAATATGAACTAGCTCCACAATAATTAGCACATCAAGACTTGTGTGCTACAAAAACATTTTATTTACAGAGTGAAGTGAAGCAAATATATAATGAAAACTCTGGTCATTAAAAGTGAAGAATTTCCTTTTTAAGGTTCTTGACATGAATACAGCTCACTGATTGATGTAGAATTAAGTAAAGCATAATTCATAACATTGTACTATTATATCATCTACTGTTGAGAGTTCGGAGTTTCAGAGATTGATTAACTCTTCTATCAGCAGTGCTGATGATGACTGAGCTCTTTTGTCTCAGTAGTCTATATCTACTCTGTACAGATTCTTGAATAATAAATCACATATCTCATTAACTATCTACTCTGTATAAATTCTTGAATAGATAATATATCTGATCAATTATCTCTCATAGATTCTCAAGAATGAATAATGTATTAAAAGTCTGTATTCACTGCTTATAAAATCAGTCTCTTGATTAATTTATTTCTTTATAGTATTCTATTACTTCTACAGCTGTCTGTCTTCAATATCATACTTAGAGAACTCAGATATTGTAATCTTCTCTTATTATATCTTTTCTATCACTGATTATCTCTTTACACTGTGTAGAACTGTAAATAAATATATACAGTAAAATCAGATTCTTCTACAGTGTAACATGACAGAACCGAAGCAGTGACTAGTCAGCAGTGTCACATAGAAGTAGTTGTTTGAGAAGCTGTATAAGTGAGCTTGACTATCTTGCTTGAATAGTGAGCTCATAGGCTACAGAGTTATTGTGAGAATATCACAGATATGATACTTAGTATACTAAGAAGATTGTATGAGACATGCAGTAACTCTTGTATATATTTCAGTAGAAGAAAAAGAAATGAATCACTGACTTTTTTGATAAGAAGTCAGTATCTAGCTATTCTATATAGACAATGAGTGAATACTCTTCTCTCATTTTATAAGTAAGAATAGCTGAAGTGATATCTCAGCAGTGTCTTATTATCAAGAAAGAGTAATCTGCTGATCTTATATAGAAGCAGAGTTCTTATATTTATTAATCAGATCTTTCTATGATATATCTGAATGATATTATAGAGTAATTGAAAATCAGTTCAGATAGAATGAAATCATTCACATGAAAGTAATAAGCTGTGTGAAACTGTAACAGAGTCTTAACATAGTTAGAAATGTGATAATACTCTCTTCTTTAAGAGCATAGTCTTAATGCTCTCAAGATTACTGAATTAGAAATTATCTTTATTATATAGTAACAGTTATCAACTGATTAACAGTGCATATACTGTACAAAGAAATAGATGAGTTTTTCTGCTGACTAGACTAACTGTGTGACTGTGTCTGAGACCAGAATCAAACTTTACAGTTGTTACATTGCCTAAAAGCATTACTTCTGATCATGATTTGTGTTCATCACATTGATCTCAAATTCCATTATTTCAAATATTAAAGATCTCAGATTTACTTTTCAAATAAAAATCTAGTTCTAGATAAAGAATATATTTGAATTCTTAGTCACATTTTCATTCTGATCTCATTATTGAAAATAGCATCAAATGAGATTATAAAATTATTTCTCACTTACATAATATCATAATATAGTGCTCATTTGTTGAAAATTCAACAGAGAGTATTATTAAATATCATTACTTTTCTAAACACAGATCATAATCAATATCATTTTAATTAAAAAAAAAATGTAAAATACAAAAAATAATAAAAAAATAAAAAACAAAACAACAAGAAAAAATCACAACAAAAAAAAAAAAAAAAAAAAGAGAAAGAAAAAAAGAAGAGACAGAAAAAAAAAGATAGAAAGAGAAAGAAAAATAAAAATAAAAAAGAAAAGAAAAATAAAAAAACAAAAAATAAAAATAAAAAAAAATCAAGATCATAGAGTCACAGCACTCTCAAAATACTCACTTTTCAGAGTCTTTACAATATTCATCACTAATTATATATCTCTTATAGTGAGAGTAACACAGCTGTGATAAGTCATTGTCTTAATATTATCTAATAAATAATCAGTATATATCTATATAAATGTGAATAATTAGAAAATATACACTTAAAAAGTGTGATCAGGGTGAACTCTGCTATCACTTGAATGACATCAAGAACAGAACACTGAAATTAATGATTTCTCTCATTGATTTCACAGACAAGGTATGTGAAGATAATCTTGAGAAATATAAGATTCTCTGACTTCTGATAGAAACAGATCTCACAGAGAGACTCTATTTTCATTATATCAGAGACTGAGTGTTACTAAAAAGTATTACTTCAATGCACATGCACTTACTGCAGTGATTCATTCTCTGCACATGTGACTGAGAGTTGCAGCTTTCTCACACTGCATGACTCTCTCTGAGATGCTGCTGCTGGTTTGCAATTCACACAGTCTCTCAGTTCAGCACACACTGCATATATACAGCCCTGTGTGCTGAGACTGTGTTGATCATTATGATCTGATGTAATACTTGCTTTTCACAGGCCATGTTTCATTTGATTGAAGAGGAGAGGGAATGTGACTGCTGTTTTATTTGAGAGAGAATGAATAATTGAATCTGTGGAAGATAATTTGATTTCTTCTGTATTTGAAATTTGATTAGTCTATACTCTTCAATTTGAGAGTTTCTGAGAGTGTTTTAATAGTTTTCATACCAGCTTGAAATTAGTGATTGATTGAAGAAGAGAAAAGAGAGAAGAAAGAAATAAGAATAACTTATCTTTATAATATGAAAACAGAGAATTGCTGCAATTATTTATTCTAGCAATAAAGATCTGTTTTCTGCATGTATTTCTGATATAGATTATATAATAACTGTATATAAAGAATATCAACAGTGTATGTATTGAATGAAGATGATGTTACTATGCAATACTGTAGCTGTTTCTATACATCACTGAAAGCTGTTAATATTTTCTTTGAGTCTCTTTATATTTGATAAGTCAGTAATATATTTCAATGCACTTCTTCTTTCATCATCATTATCATCATTATCATCACTATTATTATCATTACTATTATTATCATTATTATCATTATCACTATTATTATCATTATTATTATCATTATCATTATTATTATATTATTTCTGACTGTCTCTTCTGTCTTCATCTCTCTTCAACACTCACTGAAATTAATTATATCATCTCTCTTCAAATATTCTGCAGTTCTGCAGATTATCAAGGCGCATGAGTATCATCACAGATTGAAGAAAGAGAAGAAGAAGGTATTTAAGTGAGAGAAGACAGATTATAAGACATATTATAATATCTTGAAGAGACTCTATAAGAGAGTAGAATGATAATGATTTTAAGTAATACTTCTGATAGATTTAGACTGAACTAAGTATAGAAATAATACAGATGATGCTGTCTATGAGAGATTGAAGAAGAAGACAGTGAAGAGTCTCATACAGTAGCAGTGAGATCAGAAGAAGTTCTGAGAATAATTTGAGATTAAGATAAAGAGAGAGAGAGAGAAGAAGAGTGTTACTGTAAATAAGTAACAGTAGAAGAAGATTGAGAAGATGTTAAAGTGAGAGATAAAGAAGTCAAAACTGATAAGTTTTTTATTTATTAAGAGATAATGATTTTTGATAATACTTCTGTTCTCTAATTGATTAGCAGAAGCTGACAGAGAAGAAGAGAATTAAGGCCTTGTTCAGATCTCAAATGCACTTCATGATTCAGAATATTGAGAAGACAGCTCTGCTCTCTGAGCATGTCAATCTGCTTACTACTGAGATGGAATCTGAGGCAGCAGATCAGGAAATGCAGGATTTTGAGATACAGGTTGACCTGGCTGAAGGGAAGCAGCAGAAACCCTTCTCTGAGAAGGCAGTAGAGAGAGATTTTGAGATGATTATCATCTCAGATGAGGAGAAGAAGAAGAAGAAGAAGAATGAGAAGTGAATTATGAAGAATGATAAGAAGAATGAGAAAGAGAAGAAAGATGATGAATAGAAAAAGTTTTTTTCTTTTTATATTAGTTAGTTGTAAGTTCATAATTATTAATAATTGAAATTAATTTTGAGTTTTTAAAAATTATTGTACAAGTTATAATCAAGTCAGGAACAATATATATATATATATATATATTTAACTATCATGATTCACAAATCACTATAATGTATAAGTATCAACATTTTTTCAACATTGATATTCACAATATTAATATATTTTTAATAATATTATTTGATAATACAATTTAGTAATACTCTCTTTCACAATATTAATATATTTCAAGAAATATGACAGAGATTAATCAAGATTGTTTATTTACTTTTATACATTGATGATATTCAATCTGAGTTAGTACTAAAATTATAACTAAGTTAAGAAATAAGATTATTTTCTCTTATATTAATTCTTCTTATACACATCAGTGATCAGTTATTGAAAATAAATTATCATCTTTCTTAAATTATTATCATGTCTTCTGAATTCACTTCTTTCACTTCTTTTACTTCTATTGAAGATTTATAAACTCTTCAAGAAATCACTGTGAATTACAAAGTCTATATTATTTACAATTCAACACAGAATACTCTCTTTCAATTATAATAAATAATCACTTCATTCTTCACATCTGATTTCAGGTCACAAAATTTATGAAAAACTCAACACAAATATCAAGATAAACTATGAAATAATTATTAACAGATTGTATTATAGATTATTGAAGAGTTATCTCTCTATTATAATTACTGCAACTTCATTCAGAAATATTCATTATAAACTGATTATAACTCTGAAGAAATTTTCTGATATCTGAAGTCATCAGAATGCAGACAATAAAAGAAAAATAATCAGAAAATTACTACTGAGCTGATAAGTTACTCTATCAGATAATGATTTTTGATAATACTAACTTTCTAATTTGAAGAAAATTATATGAAAATGACTCTGTATCAGTACTCTGATTTCATAACTCTTATCTAATAACTTCTGTGAATAATTACTTTGTATGTGTATATCTCTGAATCTTTCTCTTTAATCAATTGAAAACTCTGAATTCTGAACACTTCTTCAAATACTTAATTTAAATCTTCATATTTCATATCAATTCTGTCTTCAGTTCAATCTCAAGATATACTATAAAGTTAATATATAATATCTAGAATCAGAGTTGAAGAATCATTGAAGAGTGTCTCTCACAGTAAATGTATAAACTAGTACAAATAATCTTATATTTATAAGAGTTATATATTATTATATTGATGAGAACTGAACTTATTGAGAGATATTAATTGAATTTGAATCATTGATCAGTAGTCATACTGAGAATTATATGACAGAGATATTAATAACTATAATTAAAAATGACTATTAAGATATTAGTCTCAGTCTTCTTACAATTATAACTGATAATACTGTGAATAACTATACTATGATGAAGAGCTTGAAGTAAAAATTGACTTTGCATTTCTAAAATGATAAATAAGGTCATATTCTCTGCATTGCTCATGTGATTCAACTTGTAATATAAACACTGATAAAGAATCTTAATATCAAGATGAAGAATAATAAGATGACTGATTCTTGAAATAAGAATAAGATGAAAGTGATTACTCAAGTAACTTTTGCATTTACTTTGTAAAAGATAATGTTTTTTGATAACACTTTTTAATATTACTTTTTAATAATGCTTTTTAATAACACTACTGTTAATTTTAAATAGATTGACTAATAATTTAAATATCATAGATTTGAAACATTGTTAATGCAATTTATATCTCTTCTAAATAATAACAATGATTTCATGATATTTAATAAATAAACAAATCAGTCACATCACTGAATATAATACAGAATATTAGAATATAATGAAGTTCAATATATAAGATAGCTATTCAGACTCTTCAATTATATCAGATAATTGATCATTGAGTGTAACACTCTGATTGAGAAAAGATTCAGATATTGAAACTTTCTGATATAAAGTGAACTCAGTTGAAATATGTGATTGATTTACTGTTTCAGTTTTATAAGATAACAAAGACAGTCTCAATCACTTATACATCAATACTGCAGTCAGTCTGATGAGTGTATAATAGTTTATTTACTCATCTTGAGAAGCAGTTGAATCACTCAAAAAGAAATTCAGTCTGAGATAATACTATAGTACAGGCTATTGTTACTGCAAGGAATAAACTGATATATTATTACAGTAAAACAGAACAATCTTTTACAGAGTATTATACTGTAGCAGCTCTACTAGATCTCTTCTATTAAGTTAACATCTACACTTCTCAAGATTGAATAGAGAAGAAATGAGACTCATATGTTAAATTAGTCTGAGACTACTACAATGTCAACTATCAGAGATTTGAACAAGCAGATGTTCAAGATATGAAGACAGTGAAATACAATTCTCTAGTAAGTAACAATCTTTGATAACACTTCATATCATATAGAACTATAATACTAACTTTGAAACAGAACTTGTATACATTAATTGCAATCAAAAATCAGATAAAACTATATACTTATAAAACTGAATTTAACTGCTATCTTTAAGATGATCTGATGAATTTACACATCAAATCAATTCTAGAGTTATGAAAAATTATTGAGAGTATATATTCAACTGTTGCACTGATAATACATGATATTCTGACAATTTCATTGACAGAGATGAGAATGAAGTGAAAGTTCAACTCAAGTCAAGATATTTATCACTATCACTGAGAACAATTATAAGAAGAAACAATCAAGAAACTCATGATTATAAAACATGAAATTATCAGACAGTTTAATACCTCTGATCACAGTATATCAGAGAAGTGTAGTTTTCATGAGAAAGTGAAGAATAAACTTGCACAAGAATGTATTTAGTTATTTCATAAGTATTATCAATAATCATTATCAAATTCTGATTATATAAGCAATCACTGAATGAACTAAATGAGACTGATTTTAATCTTCAGTCTCAGTTCTATTCTGATTTTGAAAGAATGATCATTTTTCACAGTTTATTCTGAAAAATTACTTCTATTTCACTGTTCTTGAATTAAATCTGGTCATTTTTCACATCATTTCTCTCAGAAATGGTTCATTTTCAGATTTTTTTGAGGCTTGATTCTGGTGAGACTCATGTCAAGAAATGTATGAGATCAGATCAAATGAAATCAAATGTGAAATTCATAGTCTCAGTGATCAGTCTACTGCTGACTGTGTAGATCTTTCTTTTCTCATCTTCATTCAATTTAAACATGTAGTAAGTGAGTTTCTTATATATTGATTTAAAATGTGAAAAACATAGTTAACAAGTGACTTGCAGATCTCTCAATATATTCTGTTCTATATATGAAATTCTCTGCAAAAGTAGTGTGTTTTTAGAGACATAGCTAACAGTAGTGACAGAATTTTTCAAAAAGATCTCTCTCTTTATAAAACATTTTTCTTCTCTTTCTCTCAATTGTAACAGTGAGTGCATGAGAGTATCATTCTTGAAGAATAATAAAGGACTTATTCTGACATTTTCTAGTGAATAAATGTCTTCATGATGCGGCTGCAGCCTCTGTAGCCGCTAAGAAAGTCAGGTTGAAGGCAGAGATGATGTCAATGAGCCGCAGGAGCATCACTCTCATTGCTACATCTTCTCCTGCTTCTCTCACAGCCGCGGTGGTAGTTGCTGTGCCTTGCAGTGAGGTGTCATCTCTTCTGCTGACTGATGCATCTGTGTTCAGTTCATTCCCTGCTCTCTCCACCGCTGTTGCAACGCTGTTCCCTCTCTCAGTCAATACAGTAGCATATGACTCTGTGTGATCATTCAGAGAGAAATCTGGAAAGAGCTTGATTTCAGAGACAGTGACTCTGAGAAGCTTAATCTGTAGTTTCTCTCCTGCAGCATGTCTGAGCCCTGCTCAGAATACTGCTAAGTTGAGTCTGCAGAATTCTGCAGTTTCTTTATCTTCTCTCTGTGAGAAGGCTTCAGTGCAGTCTCTGACTGATACTACTACTTATCTACACTATATTAAGCAGCTGAAGAAGAAGAGAATTCTATACACTTACTTCTTCTCTCACTTTCATTGTTTCTGTTATATCTGCAATAATAACTTCTATCTCTCTGTAAGTATTATCTACTCTATAAGAAGATATTGTATTAGCTCTGACAAGAAGCTCAGATACTCAAGCAGTACAGAGTGAGAGTCTCAGAGCTTTAAGTATTAACAGATTCTATCAAGACTAAGAAGATCTCTCTTACTTATCTGTAAAAGAAGATAAAAGTATGAATCTCTGAGATAAAAAAACATCTCAGAATAACTGATCTCAAGAAGAGATCAGCTGATATCATTATTAAAAGTGCTATAAAGATTAATCACTGATTGAAGAGAATCTTACTTTAATTAAAGCAGATAACTGAGATACTTTATAAATTAATAAGTTAATACTTTAAGCATCTCTTATACTCTTCTATAGCATGCTTCTCTGCAGTGCTGCAGTACTAACTTCTCAGTAGATAAAGATATCAGTGTCAGAGACTTTAGCAGTGAAGAATGAGTTTGATAAAGATATAGTTATTAATAAGTAGACTCTGAGATTTCTTCTTTTTACTTTTTCAGCAGGCTGTAGCCTTATTAGATTAGCAGCAGTCTGCAGATCAATTAATATTAATCTTTTTTATTAATTTTAAATATTTCTTTCTTTTCTTATTAACTGCTTCAGAAATTTTATACTTGTATAGTCTTATTAAACTTCTAAAAAATTCTTTAAAAGAAAATAGAAGAAGAGTGCTACAGAGTCTATAAGATATCAGCTCATTATTACAAGATTATCTCTAAAAAATTCTTTAAGAAAAATAAGAAGTCTTTAAGTAATATTTCTTACTCAATATCTCTGATGTATAACAGAACAGTCTCTACTAGCTATCTTATAACTTATAATCTCTTTCTCAGCATTTTTCAAATACTCAAGCAGTTCTCATGAATTCTCTGATAATGAATAATCTTTTTATTTAATAAGATATTGAAGCTTACTGTAATATATTCACTTATTTAATATTTTCTTTATAAGATATTTGATATCACTCTTAATCTCAATATTATTCAGCTGAGACAGCTTCACTCTGAGACATTGCTTATAGAGCTTTAAATAGAAAATGTGAAAAATAGAATGAATTAATTTCAATTCTGTGAGTAATTTCAACTCATATGTCTACTTACTTACTACTCTTATTATCAGAAAAGATTCTAGTCATCACTCACTGAGCTTCTTATATAATCTTATTATCTTGATATTCTTTGCTGAAAGTAGTACTTAATTCTCTATTAAAAACTTCATTGAAAGATATTTTTAATTATAGTATTTTATTTATTACTTCTAAGTGTGATAAATATCTTTTATCATCTTCTTATAAACTTTGTTTAAAAGTTTCAATCTTACTTTTACTTCTGATACTGAGAGATACTTTATTCTCTATATCTATCTGATATTCTGACTGTCTATTCTCTTCTTTGAAACATCATCTGTAATATCACTGAGTAGTGAAGAATTATATTTATAATAAGTATAGAAAGAAGATATCTTTAAGATTACATTCTTTGTATTATTATATATAAATTCAGTAATTAGAAGATGTTTGAGTCAATTATTCTGATAATATAAATAGAATGCTTAAAGATGCTGTTTTAGTATCTAATTCTGATATTCAGTCTGATTATCAGTCTGCAGATGAAATACAGTACTGAGAAGACATTTTATTATAAGATGATAGTAAAAAGCCAACTAGTATTTATTATTATTATTATTATTCTTCAATTATGAATGTATGCAGTCAGAGACTATGACATCTACCTGAGAACTTTAGTTCTCAGGGTTTTTTCTATGTCTGTAAAGTTAACTATTATACATTTATCAATTTCAGATATGCAAAATCAGAAAATTCCAGCCTAGAATACAAAAACTGTTTACAAATTGCAGTGTTTTAACATCTTTTGATACTTTGAAATCATTTGACAATATCATGACAAAAGAAAAGAGAAAAAGAATACAGTCTCAAAGATAGACACATTAAATAGATAGATAGAAAGAAATTGAAAGAAAAAGATAAAGAAAAAGATAATTATTATTATTATTATTCTTCAATTATAGATGTATGCAGTCAGAGACTATGACATCTACCTGAGAACTTTAGTTCTCAGGGTTTTTTCTATGTCTGTAAAGTTAACTATTATACATTCATCAATTTCAGATATGCAAAATCAGAAAATTCCAGCCCAGAATACAAAAACTGTTTACAAATTGCAGTGTTTTAACATCTTTTGATACTTTGAAATCATTTGACAATATCATGACAAAAGAAAAGAGAAAAAGAACACAGTCTCAAAGATAGACACATTAAATAAATAGATAGAAAGAAATTGAAAGAAAAAGATAAAGAAAAAGATAAAGTAAAGAGAGACTATAACAAAACAAATTATTAAAAGAGAGTGTATAGCTGTTTTAACAGACTATATCTGATTTATTTTCTCCTCTTCATACTCAGATAATTCTGAATTTAGTCATTTTCTTATAGCTGCTTGAGTTTCTGATAGAAAGTCTATTAAGTATTTAATTCCTGTCTCAGTTGAGAATAAGAATCTCATATTTAATTGATTTAAATCATACTTCTCTTTCAATCTGGCTCTGAGACTATTGTATAATGCACAGTGCATTATAATATGCTCAGAATTCTCATTTATATTGCAGAATGAGCATTCTATTGAGTCAAATCTATCATCAAATCTTTGTATATAAGATTTAAAATAGCCATGTCCTAGTTTCAGCTGTATTATAGATGAGAATATTTTCTTTTTACATTTAATTGAACAAGATTTCCACTTGGATTTTGTTTCAAATCTTGAATAATGTATACTCTTCTTTTATTTCTGCCAGCTTTCATTTCACTTGTCTAAACAAGATTCTTTTATTTTTCTCTTTATAAAAGATCAGGACATAATTTTTTGAATAGATCTGCTTAATTCTGCACTCTTTTTTACAGCTGAATCAGCCAATTCATTACTATGAATATTCATGTGAGCAGGAACTCAGTGTAGATGAATTATCAGCTTTGATGATCTTCTCTTTTGAATTTTCAAAACAGAGTTTAAGATCAGTTCAAGATTCATTTGATCATTATGAATCTGACTATTTCTAAGTCTTTTTAAAGCAGCTTGACTATCAGAGAATATCCATGCCTCTTTCAAACAATTTCCTCTTTTATGAGATTTTATTTCAATGAGTTTGAAAGCTTTCACTATTGCAAATAGTTCAGCATCAAAGACTTCACATTCAGAGCCTAGATTCCAGAAATCTGAGATAAAATTAATATTATCTTCAGTATAAGCAATGCCTGTGTCTAATCTATTCAAGTTCTCATTTTTTAAGTCATCTGAATAAACCAGAATAGAGTCTTTTATATTGATTGTAGAAATTCTCTTCAAATGCTGTTCATATTCTTTCTCTTTTGATAGTTCACTTATTTATAAGTCTATAAGAGATTCAAGCTTTTCTCTTCAGAGAGATAACTTCTCATGATCAACTTTTTCAACATTTAAAGAAGAAAATTGATTTTTAATCAGAGAGCATAGTCTGTACAGTTGAGAAGACATTTTCTTTGAAGAATTATTTTCATTTCAATTAAGAAATCTATTCCAATCCAGTTCATTTCCAGAGTTAATTGATGGAAATGAAGAAGAGACTCTTTCTCTGATTATATAATTTAAGCTCATCTTTACAACTCTCAGAGCATAGTTCATACAGGCCTTTTCAAATCTAATAGCAGAAGAAGGAATTGAAGCTTCAATTTCCATTGCTTTAATAGAAGATGATTTGAATGCTTTCAGAATTCTTCTCAAGACTCTGTTTTATAGACTTTGAAAGAGTTCAGTGTAATTCTCTTGATTATTTCACCAAACTTGAACTTCATAATCAGCTACTGATGTGATACAGGCTATATATAACTGTCTCATAGCCTGAAAGAATAGACCTCTCTCTGTATTTGATAGTCTGATTATGTTGTTCAATAGTCTTTCTGCCTTGACAGTTCTTTGTTGAATGTGATATTTAAAATTCAACTTGGAGTTTAATCATACTTCTAATCATTTGACATTTACACTGAGTTTAATCTCTCTATTTAAAAGAGTTAGAGATAGTTCTTTCTCATTGAGTCTAGAAAAGAAATGAATTAACTCAGTTTTATCCATATCAAATTGAATTTGATTGATATCTGCTCTAACAAAGATTTTCTTTGCAGCTTCTTCAATTACTTTCAAATTCTCTTTGATAGTTTTTGAGCTGTAGACTAGACCAATATCATTCATATAACTCAGAGATTGCACTATTCTCATATTTCTATTTTTGAATAGATATGCAGTGTATATTGCAAATAAAATGAGTGAGATTGAAGATCCCTGTGATACTTCTATTTTTATCTCAGTCTTGTCTTATTTCATTCCATCAAAGAAGAGTTGTATAATTCTTTTAGACATAAAACAGTTAACTCATTTTATTAGAGAAAGTGGCAGTTTTAATATCTTCAATGTCTGAATTAACTTTGACTTTGAAACATGATCAAATGCTCTCTTTATATCAATAAAAACTGCAGTTGAGACCAGACTCTCATGCTTTGCTATTTGAATATCATGAACAACTGAGAGAACAGTGTCAATTGCAGAACACTGTTTTCTATCTTCTATTTGTTCACTGAATAAAAGAGAATCATCTATAGAGCTTATAAAAGATAGTTGAGTAGCTATTATCTTTTCTAAAACCTTTTCTAAACAGTTCAATAGAGATATTACTCTATATGACTTAGAAATTGAAGTTTTTCTATTAGGTTTTGCAAGAATCACTTCAGTGGCTTCTCTCCAGCATTCAGAATGATATTCATTTTTCAAGAGATTGAAAAAGAGCTCAAAATATTCATTCTTTAAGTAGGAATATGTATTTTGAATAATCAAGTGATTAATTGAATCAGGATCTGCAGCAGTTTTAACAGAACTTGAGAAGATAGCTGACTCTAATTCATCTTGTGTAAGATCAGACCATTC